TGACAGCGGAAAAGGCTGCAGGAGAGGGAAACATGAGACAATTGTATGATACAAGAAAGAAACTTGCTGGAAAGTACCGTAAGCCAGAAAGACCAGTGAAAGGCAAGGAAGGCAAGGTAGTCACCAACATTGAAGAACATCGAAAAAGGTGGGTAGATCACTTTAAAGAACTCTTGAATCCACCAGCTCCACTGAACCCACCCAACATCGAAGCAGTACCCACAGACCTCCCAATCGATGTTGGCCCACCAACAATTGAAGAGATCAGCATGGCCACCAGAAAAATCAAGAGCAGCAAAGCAGCAGGACCAGATGACATTCCAGCAGAGGCACCGAAATCAGATGTAGCAGCAACTGCAAAGACACTCCACATTCTTTTCAGTAAGATTTGGGATGAAGAACAAGTACCAATAGACTGGAAAGAAAGACTTCTGATCAAAATACCCAAAAAGGCTATCTCAGCAGGTGTGATAACTACAGGGGCATCACTCTTCTCTCAATACCAGGGAAAGTCTTCAACAGAGTATTGTTGAACAGGATGAAGGATTCCGTAGATGCTCAGCTTCGAGACCAACAAGCTGGATTCCGTAAGGATCGATCGTGTACAGACCGAGTTGCAACTCTACGGATCATTGTGAAACAATCAGTTGAATGGAATTCATCACTCTACATCAACTTCATTGACTACGAGAAAGCATTTGATAGCATGGACAGGACAACACTATGGAGGCTTCTTCGACACTCAGGCGTACCTGAGAAGATAGTCAACATCATACAAATTTCTATGATGGATTAAACTACCAAATCGTGCATGGAGGACAACCCACTGACTCGTTTGAGGTAAAGACCGGTGTCAGGCAAGGTTGCTTACTCTCACCCTTTCTTTTTCTCCTAGTGATCGACTGGATCATGAAGACGTCAACATTTAGATAGAAGCACGGGGTACAGAGGACAACTAGGATGCAGACCGGTGATTTAGACTTTGCAGATAATCTGGCTCTTCTACCGCACACACAACAACAAATGCTGGAGGAGACGACCAGTGTAGCAGTAACCTCAGCAGCAGTAGGTCTCAACATACACAACGAGGAAAGCAAGACTCTCCTATACAACACAGCATGCATCAATCGAATTACACTTGACGGAGAAGCTTTGGAAGATGTGAAAACCTTTACATATCTGGGCAGCATCATCGATGAACACGGTGGATTTAATGAAGATTGGAGGGCGCGGATCGGCAAAGCAAGAGAAGCATATTTACAACTAAAGAACATCTGGAACTCAAAACAATTGTCAACCAACACTTAGATCAGAATTTTCAATACAAATGTCAAGACAATTCTACTGTATGGGGCGGAAACGTAGAGAACTACGAAGGCCATTATCCAGAAGATACAGGTGTTTATTAACAGTTATCTACGTAAGATACTTCGGATCCGTTGGCCAGACACTATCAGCAATCAGGTACTGTGGGAGAAAACAAACCAGATATTAACGGAGGAAGAAATCAGGAAGAAGCGCTGGAAGTGGTTAGGACACACATTGAGGAAAGCACTCAACTGCGTCACAAAGCAAGCCCTCACATGGAATTCTGAAGGCCAAAGGAGAAGAAAAAGATTAAAGAACGCGTTACGCCGAGAAATGGAAACAGATATGAGAATAAACAAAAATTTGATAGAACAAGAAAGGGAGGTCCAGAACAGAATGGGTTGTAGAATGCTGGTCGGCGGCCTACGCTCCATTGGGCATAACTGAGTAGGTAAGTATATGATACACAGGTGAATCATTTGTTTAGTACATTAAATAATCCTATCACAACTATTGATTAATAAAGGGTTTTGATGGAAATGAACAAAATACATCAAATAATCAGTATTATTGTTTTAGATACATTTTACACCGATAAGTTAACGCTGTATATAATGGAATTTAAAGAATTTCGTAGTTATTTATTTATTAAACTATTATTATCATTACTGTAACTATTGTTTAAGAAGAATGTATGAATACAAAGATGTAACTTATAATAAGCAAAGAGTTATCTTTGATAATTATTTCTATATTAAGATTTGGTTAGGTTACAGTTAAAAATTTTGTGTTCAACTTTAAGATAAATAGTGAGGGTGATGTCAAGTCACTGAGACCAGCGGTCACAATAAAATTTGGTTGGGAACTAAATGATTAGAGAAATATAAACTAGACAACCACTCAGTGATTACAGACTAGATGGAATCTCGCTAGCAGTAAAATGTAAAACATGCGTTTTGTCTTAGTTGTAACTAGTCAGCTCGATGAAAGTGTATCTTATCAGAGTTAATGTGAGTGGCTAGCTGGACTCAGTTGCTAAATGGGTAACCCGACGGCGTTTGAAGCTAACAGTATTGAGCTCGAGTCACGAAGTAAATGTCGAATCTGTGATGCAGATATATCCCCTTGACGAGTCATGAATAAGATGCAATGTGCGTCCTGAATTCCAATGATAGCCATATTCCATTTAGTCTAGTGCCTATATCGAGGTGATCCGTACAGGATTCTCACATTTCATCTAAGATTGACCAAATTTCGGTCAAAAAATATCAACAACGGGATAATCAAATTATATACTCTATGATTAGTTAACTTAACCACTCCACTCCTACAAGAGTTCAATCATATGCCTTCAGAAAGTAAGAAAACATCACAAGAATTAGTGTGCTGACAGATAATGTTATTTATTTTCCACAGACATTTATGCGGAAAATGAGATTTTACGCCCAAAAATATACTTCACAACGTTTAAGTCACTAACAAGTTGTAGTTAGACCATTACTGGAAATCCGGAATCACTGAAAAGCCATGTCATCACAGTATGGAACTTTTCAGCAGAGCAAATCGACGACTCGGCACCCAGGAATCGAACCTGGAACTGTCGGTTACGGACCTTAACAATGGAACTTTAGACCACTGGACCGGCGTCCAGTGAGTGTGTGAGTTATCATCCTCTGCAAATGAGTAAGGGTTACGAAGCAGCATGAATTGATTAGAGTTAAACTCGTGCACCATTAGACAGAGAATCAGAGGTCTAAAGAATAAGCCTCTACGTGAAAGATCAAAGGTCGTAGATTTGACTCCCTGATGAAGGTTCATGGACACACACTTCTAAGGAGTCCGTCACTAAGGTGAAACGGAAATACAGTGCTTCCAGGATTTCAATGGTGGTCTAACTAAGATCAGTTAGTGATTTATACTATGGAATTTCTACGATCTTCACAAATGCTCCAATACTGTGTGTTTTTTGTATTTACTGAACTGTGATCATTAGCTTAGAGAAATTCTATTTCTTACATAATAGCATTTGATGTAAAATCTTTTAGTTTTAGTAAAATAATCAACTAGTAAATTTAATGGAAGAAGAAAATAGACAGGAATATTCTGTCTAAAGGAATTAGAGTGTAAATTTTCAGTCAAACTAACTAATTATTATTACATTAGTGGGTTGGAGATAGAAACTGGTAAACCTTAAATCTAGGTTTTATGATATTCGTAACTTTCCATAACAAGGTATACCTGAAATCTTGAGGAAACGTTTGACCTTTTGATCGATTCGAATCCGAGTCCTATAGATTTACTGTCAGATACATCATTACAGAGCTACTCGGCTTGAAGTTGACAATTCAGTACTAAAGAACTACATAAACACAAAATGAATCACTACTTAATAAACAATCAGTTTTAATAATTATTATATCTCGATTATTCCAAGGTCGTTTGTAATTTGTTGTATTTAAATTACAAAACTCAAACGTTTATGTTACATTGTGACATAATGGACAAATTTCCATTTTTAATTGTTAAAAAATTGTAATTGATTGCTGAACTATTGCATCGCGTAATTAATATAGATCTTTTCATAGTTGAAATATCTACAAAACCCCTTCTGATCTAAAATAGATCTTTTTTTTAAAATCCTTTAAACTGCATTGAATTAAGAAAATTGAAGAAAAGAGCAACATCAGTAGAATACTTTTGTGGTGCATGCTACTTATGCTGACAGTTTGTAAGTAGTATGTAGCAGACATCAGAAGCGGAATGTCTGCCAAAAGAAGATTGAATTAAAGAAAACAGGGAATGAAATAGAGAGAAATTAGAATAAAAACAGAGTTGGTAAAATTGTAAAGTACGTAAAGGACAACTAGAAGATATACAAATAATGTATTTAACGTAACATACGTACTGGACTAATTTTCAACAACCACCGAAAGCTAGGAATTGATAAACAGCTCTTTTTCTACAGTGAAGAACTAGACAGTGTGCAATCAAGATACCAGAGTGGGTCAGGCATAAGATATTGAACTCTTAAACCATTTAAGCCATTTAATGGGTAGGCATTTAGTGTTATGCCTGTCTAACTTCAATCAATTTCCAATATTCTGCCTAATGTCTAAAATGTTTTTTGAATTCCAGTGAATGAGCCCTCTTACAAAAGCTCCAGCAGTTACCTCCGGAAGTTAGTCATACATAAATATATGATCATTATTATTATAAAGAGGTTTTTGAAAATTTTTCTTTAGAATGTTTATAGTTTTTATATTATATACTAATAACTTAGTTTAAAACAATCATTAACAGCAATGGGAAGATTCAAACAAACAATACTATGTGAATTTAAACTTCACCCCATTGCACAACCAAGTGGCTATGAGGACTCAGTGACAGAGTGGATAACGCGATAGCGTATGAAGCGAAAGGTACTGAGTTCGAGTTCCAGAGTGAACATTAACTCAGATGCAGGTACATCCATCTGACGAGTCCTAAATAGAACAAAAGGCGCATCAAACTGGATTCCACTGCTAGCCACTATCCACCTTTGCTTACCATGTTTGTGAATTTAGATTATATCAAGGAAATACGCACAATATGCACATATACCAATAGAAGACTGATCAATTGCAGTCCTAAAAACATCAATGGGAAGATTTAAACAAACATTAATAATTGAATTTAGAAAATATACTACTTACAAAATTATCTGATATAATATTTGGATTATGATAACTTTCTGATTCATAAACTTCTGTAATTGGTAATGGATTTAATTGACCAGATTTATTATAATAATTATGATTATTGTTATAATCATCATTAGGACTAGTAGGATTTGATTTTAGTTTATGCAATTTTTTGGTTGTTAATTGTGATAGACGTCGTTTATTCTTTAAACCAAATGCACTTAAATGAGTAATAAATGCAATTGATTTAATTCTTGAATGATGATGATGATGTTGCCGTGATGATAAGTTTTCACTAGAAGAAGATCTAAATTCACTAATGTTAGATTGTAATGGATGAACATAAACTGGATAACATGGTGATTCAATAATTGTTGGTGATGTTGTTGATGTCTCTGTTAACATGATATCAGTTGTAGGTTGATGATAAGAATGAAAATTGGAAGTTGTTGCATCGAATAATGATGGACCATTGAAATGATGTTCATTAAAGTAATGATGATCAGTCCAATCTGTTAAATGAATTAGAAAAAAAAAGAGCAAACAACTTAGAAACAAATAAAAAGGGTGATAAAAAGTCAAACATAAAAAGGACAAGAAAAAGTTATAAAATTATTTTGTTCTAGTATGAATTGTCAGGTCAATGAGTAAACAATAACCGTTCCATTAGAAATCGGAACCCTATTCACTATCTTGTCAACTTATTTTCACTTTTTCCGGTAATAAATTTACCCAAGCAAATTTTAATAACTAATTATATCCACTGTTGTTTTTTTATCATTTAAAAAGTAAATCATCATCATTTTAAACAAGATTAACTGTATACTTTACCAGCAATCTTATGGAAAGTTATATATTCATTCACATAATTTAAACTTATTATATTGATGTTATTCATTTAGTATTGTTTGTTTGAATCTTCCCATTGATGGGTCCAAGTCCCAGAGATGCAGACAAATCCAGCTGATGAGTCTCAAATAAGAAGGAACGCGTGCCCTGGTTTCCACTGCTAGCCACTATCCATCTTTGTTTATATTGGTGTTATATTTATTCAAGACACTAATTTTAATCTATATTATGTAGGTTGTATCCAATTCAGCACATACACTTGTTGTGAATTTAAAGGTCGGCTTTTTATCACGTGACTTATTCACCAATCGAAATACGACTTATCCAATCCTACCTACCACTGTGCTAAATCAATGACGTTCGACTGGTATGAGCAGCTTAGCGTCCTTTTTGGTCTTTTATCCGCCTAATCCTTCCAATTTAGTCCAGAGCACCAATTAACATCTTCTACTATGCGAATCATTTATTTCAAACATACTGGTTATATATATCAACCAAACAGGCTGCAAAATACCATAAAATAGGAAATAACATTTATACCAGATCAAACCAAAAAGTGAACGTGAACGTGAGAGACAGTAATTAATAAACTAAATATAAATTAGGAACAGTAAATCTTATAATAATAATAATCTATAGGTTAAAATGAACCTTATAATAACATAAATATAGATATAAACAATCTAATTATTGAATAGTTATACAATAAGAGTATATTATAGAATATTAGTCCATTAATAGATTCCGGAAGTTACTCGTACTTTTAATCTTCACTAGGATATAACAACCCTGCATTAAATAATCAATTTGAAACAATCTGTACACGCGAAACCATGTATATATAGATATACATATACATGAAGACCTAGATGCTTTGTTTAGTCTCCAGTCAAATGATTTGGTAATGAACACATAAATACACTCGAATAAATGTTAACAGTTTCACTTTATGAATAGAGTTATCATTTTATTTTATTTATAGTGATAACAAAATGATAGAAAATCAATATTTTAATGTACTTGAATAAATAACGAGTTTAGAAATCAGTTCATTTAATCAATATTAAGGAAACTGTAAAGTAACTATTGTTCTGGAACAGGTGGAAACGCTTATGTACGTGATCAGTATCACTGATGAAGAAAGAGGATCTGATACAGATATGAAGGCGAGAATTGGCAAAGTACCGCATTCCTACAGTTGAACAACATATGAAACTCAAAACAACTGTCTGTCAATCAATATCAAAGTCATAGTCTTCAATACGAACGTCCAGTCAGTTTGACTGTACAGAGCTGAAACTCTGAGAACTACTACAACCATCATCTGCCATATCAGGTTGTTGCTAATGCTGTCCAGTCAACGGGCATTGAGTACCTTTCTTTCTAGCTGAGGAAAAAATTAGCGACAAACTCTGGGTGTGGATAAAAGAAACATTAAGTAAACCGGAAAACTGCATAATGAGGCAAGCGCTGACTTGGAATACTGAAGAGAAAAGTAAAAGTGAAAGACCCAGGATTCTTCAACAGTGCAAACAAAGTCTTGTAAAGGATAGAAACAATTAAGCTCTCATGGTGAGCATTTGACTTTTAGAAAAATGAGTCACTATCCAGTGGTTTACAACTCTCACTTCAGGATAATACAACTATACTGTATTTCCAAGCTTTTAAAGGTTATATATGGTTATGGTATTGAAACAAGTATCAAAAAATACGTCAATAAAATACTACAGATAGAACTCTAACACTTCAAACCGTTTTATGGATTATCGTATAGTTATCAAATAAGTAGTCTATTATAAAACCGCAGTATGATATATTTCCCTATGGACTAATATGATGTTTATACGTTCAAACACTTATTTCTGTTAATATTACTCATTTTTGGTCTGCTTGATTTAAATCTAATCAAAAAAGCTATTTCAATATTAAATGGTATTCAGTAATGGAATAACAAGATAATAATGTAATATGATACAGAAAATAAATGGGGAAATATATGAGAAATGTAAGTTACATAGCAACTACAATGATATTCTTTTATTCAATTTATAGGTCAGTATAATGTTTCTGTCTAAGAGCAAGATTATTAAATTATACAACAAAACGTGGGATATAATCAATAAATTTTTATGAACATGAATATTAGCAAAGATGGATGGTGGTTAGTAGTGGAATCTATAACGCGTGTTTCGTTAAATTTACGACTCGTCAACTGGATGCACCTGCCTCCCGTTGTTGGTGTTCACCCCGGGATATCCAGCTGACGAGTTTAAAGTAGGACAAAATGCACGTCCTGGATTCCACTACTAGCTATTAACAATATTTGCTTACAACGCTTGTGACTTGAGGCAGTATCGAGGCAATCTGCATGAGATGTACATATGCCAATAAGAAACTGACAAACTGTAGACCTAAACATCAATAAGAAGATTCATACATGAATATTGTTTCACCAAGAATACAATAACCAATTATACTTTTGTTATTTTGAACTGTTCAGTAGTACATAATAATTGCCTTACATTGAATCAAATCTAAAACTCTCATGGAAAACAACACAGAATTAAGTCTCTCATTCATAAGTAAGCATTCAGTTTCAAATTTCAGTCAATTTACAAATTAGGACAATCAACATTGACTATTAACTATGTGATTAACTGCATTACTTGTATATTGTTTGAGTTCATAGATCATGGTGGATTTTAGGAGACACGAATGTTGCATCTAAGCACACTAATGGTATTATCAATTCATAGATTCATTATTTTATCAATAATCATATTATGAAATTGCCTCCGAATAGAAAGAAATCTGTGTCATTTCATTAAGTTTCCTTCGAAACTGCTAGATTCCTTTAGAGTTCTATCGTTACGGTTTATTATTGAAGAGTTGAGTGTATAAGTGGATCAGTTGTCCACGAGTTCTCGATTTCTCAATAGATTCAGTTTATATTTTAATAAAATAATAATCTTGACTAAATATGGATAATGGAATCCAGGACGCGCGTTTCGTCCTATTTAAAACTCATCAGCTGGATGTACCTACATCTCAGAGTTGATGTTCACCTAGCGATTCGAACCCACTATCCTTCGCACAGTATGCGCATATTCTAATAAGAGACTGACCATTGACAGTTCTAAACAACAATGGGAAGATCCAAATGAACAATATCAAGTGAATAATCCTGACTGTTCCAAATTAATTTTGATAGTTCAGATCATGAATCAATTGAAGCTAGACTACCATGACAAACCTGGAAGCATTGGACGGCCGTTTCGTCTTATTATGGGACTCCTCAACAGTGTGCATCCACAGTACAAATTGTAAAAGATACAACATGTAAATTTATAAGCAAACTATTATGGATTTCATTCTATTAAGAAATTTGTAGGATTGAAAAGAAAAAAAAATCGGTTCACTTTTAATGGACAACCTTATTTGAATTTACTTTGAAATGAAAATTTTTTTATTGTTGCTAAGAGAAAACAGAAAAAAAAGAAGAAGAGAAATTAGATTGAGATTGTATTATTTGTAATATAAAAGAGAAGATTATGTATATTAAACATTTATGTATTCACTTTAGTACATTATAGATTACGCCCATTGTATTCTTATATTTACAAGTAGCATGGTAATTAATAGTAATACTAATCTATTGTCAGAGAATAAGCACAATGAAACTTTTACAAAAAAAATTTTGATCCAGATGTACACAATTTACTTATTTAAGCTTTTACTGAGATAGGTTTTAAACTTTATGTATGCATTAGGAGGGACAAAAATCAATCTAAACATTCACATGAATCATAAAACATTATGGTTTTGTTTATGAACTATATTTTGAATTTAGAACAAGTGTTAAGCCAGTATTCACCCAATATGAAGTTCTATGTTGCCTGGCTTAGAAGAAATGTAAAAGAAGGTTAGGGGAAGCTAATACAAGAGAAGAGATCAATCTATAGATTCTGAGGCGTCATAGTTGGTAAGATGATTGTCATCTGTGACGATCGCAACTAATAGAAAATCCAATATTTCAAAACTGATTCTGTTCCTTTATATTTCTTTAAGTCACGAATACATACCATTATCTCATCTTTTTCTGAGTTTTTGGAAAAAAAGTTGTCTTTAATTACTATTACCAATATCAAATGGATTTCCTAACCCTTACTGCTTTCAACAACATCATATTGTGCTTATGTAAACGTTGAATAAAATAGACCGTTACGAATTGACTGTGAGTTTTATCTAATCGCCTTTATATCAGTTTGTGCGTTAAATACAAATTACGAAACGTATACAAATTGCTTTGCTTATTTGTGAACTATATTTGTGGTGTATGCTGCTTTTGCTGACAGATGTAAGTAGTATATTACAGCAATCTAAAGTGGAATGCCTACCAAAAGAACATTCTAATGAAGAGAGTAGGAAAGAAGCTGAAAAAACAATTGAAATAACGACATAATTAAAAGAATAGAGGAGTATGTAAAAGAACAATGCAAATAAGCTGTGCAAATGATGAATTTAATGTACGAATTTCATAGTGTTTTTTCATAGTGATAGAAGTAGCAAGGGTATAAGCAGTAATCCGAAAGATTAGGGTTTGAAGATGTTATTCAAGAAGTACAATCCAGTGAAATAAATTTGGAAAAAGGAAAAGATAGAGGCATAAAAAATTAAGATTATAATTTGGGAGGACACAAAGAGTGGATACACCTTCGCCATTGTAAACGATTTTGAGTCACGTCATTCAAGGTCTCTAACCATCGATTGCTATCATCTCGCGCATCCCAATCAGGTAGTCTACACCTGGTTTTTCTTTCAGGCAATCAGTGAAAACCAAGTAGCACTATAAAGCCGTTTCATTATAGTATTATAAAACTCTTAAACATTTTGTATCCACAATCATACTCAAGATTGAAATCATCATTTTCGAATTTTGCATTGAACATTTAATTGTTAAATCACTGAGTCAGAGGCCAATAGTCTTTATGGGTAAGTACTTCTGAACAGTCGTACAATAGGTTTTATAGTTCTTAACAGTTTTCTAGCAAAGAATAGTCCCTGGTGTAAGCTATAAAATCTTCCAATATCCACGAATCCTCTATACTAATTATACAGTTAAAAATGATGAAGCACTTCTAAAACTGATCACATTATTTCATAATTAGAATGGAATGTGAAATTTTTTTTAATGATTAATATGTAGCCACTATTATCAGTAGTCACTAATATTAATGAATATGTCATAAAATGTTTTTTTTCCATTCATATATACTTACAAAAAAAAACAATTTAAACTGTCATCTGATATGGCGGCTAATTTTTTTTTTACAATTATTTATTACTATGTAGCCTTCCAGACATAAACACACATTTACATACAAGCACAGAATATGAGATTTAAATGAATTAGTGAATATACACATAGTTGGAGAAGGGTATATAAACTGAAAGGGGGTAAATCAAACTCACTAATAAATCTCATTGAAAATCAAAAGTGAATCTAAGCATAACAAATTCTTTCTCTTTTTTCTTTACCCAACGCTTCTGTAACATAAATGATGAGCACTTGTTTTTTCCTTTTTGATAGGTGTAATCAGCTAAAGAGATTGTGATTGTTATTCTAATCAAATTTTATATGTAGGTGGAAAATATGCCAAATGATCAACAGTAAAAACAGTTATTTGTGTTAAACAGAGAGCAAATACAAATAATAGTGCCGAATAATATGAAGTCACTTAATTCTGTGAGATTCTCATCAGCTGCTTACAACTTACGATATTTAAAATTCGTCACTCTTTAAACACCTCTTCACATTCATTAGTTTCTATTTTTAGTACGATTCAAAGAAAATATTCAAAAAAAGTCTAAGATAATATGGATTAAGGGCATTTATCAGTGAGTACATACTGAGATGATGAAGAAAGGTTGTAGTTTAGGAGACTAGTTTTATTGGAGTAATATTCGCTGTTTTTAAATGGTTTGATTGTAAAACTTTTATTGTCTTTCTAGAGACAAACTTATACTCAAAGTTCACACTGATTATGTTGAAGCTAAAGTAAAAAAAACACGACGGAATCTTATTCGGTAATGTTAGAATGATGTAGTGAGCAAATATCTAATTATTTGGAGTATCAGAGACCTTTGACATTGGTTTCTTCTTCAATTGACAATGAGTCATGTTTTATGATATTGTCTTACAACATCTATTTAATTCGATGGTAAGATTAGAAGACAGATCAAATGAGATCAAATGGGATACCCAACATTAGGACAAATTGAATAAGTGGTGAGTAAAGATTGAAGACTACATATTTACTAATAATCAAACCAAAGATTTGACAATAATATGTGAATGATACACTCATTTTTCTGAAGAGAGACGAACTCAAAATACTCATAAGTTGATTGGTAGAGTTTTCGACGTTATCAGATTTAAAACAGAAGAAAAAGTGAAAGGCAAAATCTTGTTCTTGGATGCTTTTAACAGTAAAACAACACATGAATCATTGAAACACGATTACACAGGAAACCAAATCACACGAATAGAATACTACATTACAATAGCAACAACATTCAAAAAAGGTAGGTCCAAGCACTATTCAGTAAAGTCACAATCTAGTAGGGAAACCTCGTTACACAAGAAATTGAAGAGACTCATCCCCAATCTGTCTTTCGTATGAACGGCTGTCTCAACAAACTCAGTAGAAGGTGTATACGTAATCAACATACCGTACAAAATCAACCTCCGAAATCAAGAAACAGACTGTTATTCTATGTATGAGAAATGTATCGGAAACCATTACAAAGATTTTGAAGCCATTCTGAATCACTGTCGCTCACAAATCAATACAACTACATCATCCTATTCTACGCAGAATAGTCAACGTGAATACAAATGCATATGAGGATAACAACACCTACGAAGACAAACAATTACAAACAAAGTCATCTGAGTGAATTCATATGAAACTTGTGCAATATCGTTGAGATCATAAATCAATATTAGACTATGAAGTTGACTTCTACACGAAGTAGGTTTTGATGTTCCCAGACTGATAATGAAAGCCTCACAATTAGATCATGCAATTCAATGGACCTTTAAAGTCTTTCAATGAACATTAAATAATAGTGAACATTTATTTCTTACTATTCTTCTTCTTCTTCTTCTTCTTCTTATTATTATTATTATTATTATTATTATTATTATTATTATCAGAAACATTTATCTAACCATTCAGTCATTATTGATGTAGAACCTGGAAGAAATGTCATTTGGCTCAACTAACGAACATTAACACAACGAGATAAAATTGATGAGATTGATGGCTGAAACGATTTAAGTAACGTAGTTACTGATGATGATAGAAACTAAACACTGAGAATATGCTTCGAGAAGATAGAATGCAAAGGTATATATGAAAGAATACTAGAATTCAATAACTTAATGAATATAAAGATTGGATGCATCTGGATCACTGTGATAGAAACATGGAACTTAGGCCTGGATACGATTTAGACAGATATTAGTGACATAACATGATATGATGAGCAAGAATAAGGTATTATTGAGTCTGTTGTTTTACTAACCCATAAAATCCTACTTCATCAAAATGACTCAGAAGAGCGTAAATCATTTGTTTAAATTTTTATTATATATTGAATGATGAGTTGAACTCATCATCACTTCAGCCCATGAAATCGCTTGTTCAAAATATTTCTCAAGGGACAAGAAAGAGGATATTATACACAAATGGTAAAGTTAGACTCAATAACCATTTAAATATAATGTAGCTATAGCAACTACCATTTTTACACGTCTATATGATCTATCCTTGCTTTTGGACAAATGAATTATTCTATTCGTCATTTGTCATTCAAATGTGACCTTGAGCATGTATGTATAATCGTAAGTATGTGTCCTTATGCTAGCTTGTATCTTTCATGCTTATAAACGTTAGATAACCGTTTACTTAAATGGCGTTGATACGTTTATCATCTTCACTTCGCTTCTCCTCTTGACATTTGTCTGAGTAAATGAATGTTTGAGATAAATTCATCCAACTTAAATTGTATATATGTCGTTAGCCTAATTTGATTATACTAAATCAAATACAATTTATATTCATGGCCCATTTATGGTCGATTCTTAAATTTGATCATTAATGAAGTTAGAACGTGGGCCTATATATTAGAGATAAAAGGTTCGGTCCACTCGACATTCCAGTGATTACAAAGTAATCATACAACAGATTCAATGAAGAATCCTAAAGTAATGAATTACGGTTTCATAATGTTTAGCTGAGTTTACGGTACGTGTAACAAATCAACCTCACCTAGTCATGTATCAAACCACCACACAAAAACCATTGATGTTTTTATTTAAATGACTTAAACATTTCTAGAGGTAACAATGTTACGAGACCAAGGGTCCTGAGTTCTAGTCCCACATGCGGGATTGTGGATGCTTACTGATGAGAAGTTCTGTACTAGGACGAAACAGACATCCAATGCTTCCAGGTTTTTAATGGTGGACTAGCTTAGATCGACTTGTGAATTCAACTGTGAAAATACTATAATCTACACAAATGCACATACTGATATTAGTGTAAGCCTGTTAACGAATTAATTGAAAAAAATTTTGTTCACTTATATCTGTGTTGTTCTAGTAAGTGAAACACTCAGTAGTCATATTTCAGATCAGCTTTTAAAAAGACATGAATGTTAACCCCAGTTGTTCATATGATCATATTTATTTGCTTGTATTCAATTTATATACTTACCAGGAGATTGTGAAGTATTGGAGTTATTAGGATAACTTGATCGTTCGCCAGGATATAAATTCATTGCAGAATTCACTTGACCAGGTAATTGTTTCAATGGATTGTCCGTAGTAGAACTGTTAAATCCACCACTATGAGTTAAATTTGAATTGAAAAATTGACGTTGTTTACTATACGGGCTAATAGTTTGTCCTATAGGCATTGAGTATTTTTGAAAATGACTACTAGATGCTAATGAATTTTGAAATGGACTAATTTGTGGATGTGATGTACTGGAGAAATGTAATGATCCACCATTTTTAATTTGACTATTTTGAAACATATCTGGATCATACATTTTGGTATGCCGTTGACTTATGTATAAATGACGTAGTCGAATACACCAAAATATGATAACAACTAGAAGTGAAAAGAAAAAAAGCAGAGAAATAACAATTGACGAGATTAATATATTATGCTTAAAGTGAAGGCAAGATAGAAATGGAACTATTTAATGTGTAATGAATTCCTTACAAAACAAATAAAAGTAATCACCGAACATAAGAATGACTGTAGATTTTTGTAGGTTACATAAATTGTGACTAGCTATGGATTCAAGTTTGCGCATTTCGTTTCATACGGTAGTCGTCATCTGGAGGCATCTGCTAATTTCTGATATTTATATTCACAATAAAACTCGCATCCAGTAATCGTTTTCTCAAACCTCCAAGATGCTACTCAATGGGTTACTGAATTCAAGTATCAAAGTGAATATCAATGCTGGAAATAGACGGGTACATTCAGATCACACATCCCAGCCAGGACAAAACAGCGTCTACTTTGAAATTTCATCTAACCATAATCCATCTTAACTAAATACCTAATAAGAAAATGGCTATATTGTGACAATCAATAGAGGATTCACACATACTAACACAAGCTAATCAAAATTCAATCATAAATATCAACAACGGGATAACTGAAGCAAACTGTTGCTCATAATGATACTTAAAGTCAATCAATATTGCAGAAGAAAAGTTTGTAAAATCAAATTATTTCTCAATAGCAAGAACAGTTAAGTACCCGTTATTTTAACTAAAATTGTGTACATGAAAAAAGGAGACAATTTTCAACAAACAAATCATTACGTTCATAAAATTGGTAGTGGCTAGCAGTGAAATCCAGGACGCATGTTTCGTCCCACTTGGGAATCGTCAGGTAGATGTACTTGCATCTCAGAGTTGATGATCACTCTGAGACTCGAACCCAGTACCGTTCCCTTCAAACGCCATCGCGTTATCCATTCAGCTACTGAGTCCTGATAGCCACTTGCTTGTGTAATGAGGTGAAGTTGAAATTCACTTACTATTGTTTGTTTGAATCTTCCCATTGATGTTCAGGACTACAAATGGTCAGTCTCTTATTGGCGTATGTGCATACTGTGCGCATTGCCTCGATAAAGCCTTAGTTGACAAGCATTATAAGCAAAGACGGATCGTGGCTAGCAGTGGAATCCAGGACGCGCGTTTCATCCTTAACATCAGTGGGAAGATTCAAACAAACTATACTAAGTGAATTTTACAAATTATAACTGTGTTAAAAAAGAAGATAAATAACTTGGTTTTCGTTAGTGTTAAATGTACAAGCAGAAACTAAATACTGGATAATAGCAATACATGTTAAGTATCTTTGAAGTAGGAAAATTCGATTAACCAGAGTGAACCATATTAACAAATGCATAAAAGTTGTCTTTATTTATTGTAAAACTAATTATAGTTATTTTGTTATGTAGCAAACCTAACTGCTTCAAGAGGCAAGCCCACACATGGAATCCTGAAGGTCAAAGAAGAGGTAGAGTGGGTTGGAGGATGCCGGTCAGCGGCCTGTGCTCCATTGGGGGTAACAGGCGTATGTAATTAAGTGTTATGTAGTAAAAAGTAGTCCAATTAGAGTTTATGTCATACCATACTTGAAATCAGTCATTTTTTAAACTAATAAGATTCAACGATTGTCGCTGTATATTATAAAGTGATTGACGTTGGAAATGCTGACTTAATTAACTTAAGTCATTATGACTGTTGCAGTACTTTATGATCAAGTATATGACTTGGTTTGCTGTCATAAGTACCCTTCACTAAGGAATTTCATAGATATTTAGTACTTCATAGATTTTCATGATTATCAAGCTGTGTAGAAACTGTTTCTTAAATTGTTCTAGTCTTTATAAATCTCTTAATCAAAATAACTGAAACTCATTTTTCTCGTGGGTGAGCTATGTATTATTAGAAAGTAGTATTCCTTATTTTGAAGGTAGGTAGCCAATATTTTTATTCACTGAAACCAACTTCAAACGTAATTTATTATATGTATAAACTAGACTGATGATTTCATTTTCTAGGCTTAGTGACTTTGTATCATGCTGTCCTATATGTTTGTGGTGTTGAAAGAGTAATATTTGTTAGCTGTAAATTATGTCTTTTGATTAAAATGAAGACGCGGAGGATTTTTCATGCAAAAACCCGAATAGTTTAGGGTTAAAATGTGAAGTGTAGGTCACAGTAAGTAGTTGGGCTTAGAGTGAAAGAATGCATTGTAGTCATATTGATGAATATTTACCAAGGTGACCCTTTGTCAACGAAGCTCCAGAAAATTATCCGTTATTTGGAGGAAGTCATATAACACCTCAAAGTTTAATGAGAACATTTAATTTGAGTTGTTTTCTATCATCTTTCATTCACGGTTAATAAGCTAGTTTCTTATATTTTCAATAGTTGCCAAAGTTCATTTTTGTTCTTTCATAATGCCATGTTTATCAATTTTAATCTTTTTTAAGAGCTCAATATTACTACGTATTATTTATTTTTTACTGATATGTTATTAAAATACAATTTGCTCGTCAGTAAAGTACACTTTTGTTCTTTTTTTAAGCATAGTCTAACGCTATCATCATCCAACTGTGCTTATGATGCTTGTGAACTCAACGAAAATAGTGAGATAGTCAGCATAGTATTCATATATGCTAAAAGAGACTGATCAACTGCAATCTTATACATCAATGAGAAAATTCAAAGAACCTATACAAATGAAACATCATCCTTACCTTTCAACTAAGGATCAAATCACTTATGTACCAAAGAAAAATTAATTTTATGACTAAATGATCAAGAAAAACATCACTAATATCAACAAGCAATCACAAGAATGATTTTTATAGAAGGAATGGATTATGATTAAAAATGGGATCCAGAACAAGTGTTTTGCCTTATTTTGGACAAGTCAACTTGAAGTACTTGGATTCTGGAGTTGATAAGCACCTCTGAGATTCGAACACATAACCTTTCTTATCATAATTTTAGCGACTCCTAAATCCCACTGGTAGAAATAGAGCATGTCTCCAATAAAACTTGTAAAAAATGGCTATCTTGAAGTAATCCTCATAGGATGTACATATAGTAACTCAAAACTAATCAAAATAGGCTATCAGGACTCAATGAACGAGTGGATAACGCGATGGCGTTTGAAGCGAACTGGGTTCGAGTCCCAGAGTGAACATCAACTGTAGGATGCAAATACAACCAGCCGACGAGTCGAAAATAAGACGAAACGTTCGTCCTAGATTCTATTGCTAGCCACTATCCATCTTTGCTTAATCAAAACTCTTTTAAAGAATATCAATAACATGATAAATCAAAAACCTTTACGATTCAAATACAAGAATGATTGTTATGATAACCATAGTATTATTTATTTGAAATAAACCAGTTGTAGCTAGTCCTCGAATACAGAACAACTGTTTCGCTTTATTTATTAATTGTCAGTTGAACGTACTTGGCACCATTCAATGTTGATGTTCATACAAGGAATCTAACAAAGTACAATTCGCTTTGAACTTTCAAAGAGTGATCCATCGACTTATCAATTTTTAATAAGCATTAAGAAATATGATGTTTTTTTTTGATAATTATCAGTGAAAGTGCAAATTATCTGATTATTTATTAATCAGGACTACTTTTCGATAAATTTTTCTATTGGCATATGTATATTACTTATACATTAATAAATCATATGACTTCTTATGTAAACGCTAATAAGTATAGAAAATTATTACACAACTAATTTATTTTAGATCGCAATAATTTCATGTTACTGTTATCACGATCATTAGTAGTAGTATGGTGTATTTTACTTATGTTGACAGACATATATAGTATGTAATACCAATCAGAATTCGAATGCCTGATAGGATAAGGTCGAATGGAAGAGAACAGGAATATATACAAAAAGAAATTGTAATAAAAACAAGAATGAAGGAACAATAAAGTTTGTAAAAGACAATTGATAGATGTACAAATGATGTATTTAAATGTATTATTTTCATATTTTAAGAAGACACTATGGTAATATATTGATCAATAAATTGATCTTTCCCCATCTGAATGTTTGTTAACTACAATAGTACTGTTGTGAATGAGAACACGGGTGGATACAATCGAATGTATTTAGGTACAAATTACAAACTATCTCACAAAATTCTGATATCCATAAAGTGAACAGTTAATTTGCAAAGTAACAATCAATTGTCTCAATCTTGACTGTTCCTTCTGCAAATATCAATCCATATTCTGTAATTCCACTGTTCATGCATTTTCTTACCAATTACGCTTCATTTCAATTCTTTCCTTATCGATCTTCTGTCAAAATACATTCTATGTTTGACCATCGCCATATACTACTTCTATGGATATAATTAGATCACACTAAAGTATTACTACTGGTAACGATTGAGAATGATGAAAATAATTGAACTGTAATATCATATTTGTACCACAAAATAGAAAAAACTCAAAATTAGGGGACCTTACCATAGTCTCTCATGTGACATTTAAACTAATGTATTAATGCATGTGAAATTAACTAATTATAGTAATAATACTAATTATTTCTATCATATATTATCTGTCACATGTTATTTTATAGTTAAAAAAAAAGAATGTCAATTTATTCATTCATAACCGAATGATTAACATTGAAATTTATTTGCAAAATAAAAATAATTGAGCCAACAAAATATAAACGTTTATGTATATATTACTTAGAATGAATAGTAACATCAATACTACTATTAATACTAAACCGATACTACTAATACTACAACTACTACTACTACAACTACCAATGATAGCACTACTACTATTACTTGTACCACTACTACTACTATTACAAATGGTACTACTAATAGTACTAATACCACTACTACTACTACTACAACTACTAATCATACTACTGCTACTACCAACATTAACAATATCATGAGTTACATTCATTATCAATGAAATGAAGAGAAACATATTTCGACATAGAAATAAATTATGAAGTAAACGAACAAGAAGTGAAATGACAATAAGTATTGAACAAATAAG